TTTTTTTTTTTTTTTTGAGACAGGGTCTTGCTATGCAGTTCAGGCTGCCCTTGACCTCAAGGTGATCCTCCTGCCTCAGTCTCCCCAGTACTGAAACTACAGGAGTGTGCCACCACACCTAGCCCAGATTCTTAATATTAAAATAATGCTTAGCTAATTTATAAAACGATCAAATGAAGTTCGCAATTGGCTGAGGCCAGCCATCTGCAAGCCAGGCAAAGGGCTAGGTGGGCCAGGTTCTTCGTTGTCTTTTCCCAGGGACAAGAGGGGCAGCCTGATGCGTGCAAAGAAAAGACCACAACAGCAATTTTTGTGACTGCCCGAATGAACAGCTTCGTTACAACCTACCTGACGCTGAAAAGGTTACCCTTTAAAGTGCAGTCTGGCAGGATGTCTGATTTCTCCATGGCAGGGCTGGCGGGGCTCGGTGAGAAGGACAGGGTCCATATGCAGCTCAGGTTGAGGTGACTGTACCAGTTAGCAATGCACAGGGTCTGATCGTAGAACTTGATATTGCCCTTAATGTCACCTGTGACAATGTAGCTGAAATGGAGAGTGACATCAGTTTGTCAAGCAGCAGTAGCAAGTACCATCTACTGAACACAGATTATGGCCTCCGGGCTACAGGATTATAAAACTTCATTAAATCCTGCCCAATGAGGCTTTTACTGGCTTTTATTTTGTTTGTTTGTTTGGAGACAGACTCTTGAGCTATGTAGTTCAGTCTGCCCTTGAACTCACTGTGTGGCCCAGGCTGGCCTTGAACTCCTGGTGATCCTCCTGCCTCAGTCTCCTCAGTGCTGGGATTACAGGCGTGCACCACCATGCCCAACTGCTGACTCACTTTCCATCTAGGAAACTAAGGCTCTGAGAAGTTAAGATATTTTCCCCAATACTACAGTTGCCAGATTTAGATAATAACAACACAGGATGCCTAGAAAAACTTGACTTTCCGGTAAGCAACCAGCAGCTTTTCATGTAAGTAGATCCCACAGGGCCACACATGCAGGGAATCCAGGTGACAGGCAAAGGGGACCTCTTCCTGCCCTCCGAGGTCAGTGATTCCATCCCTGCAAGTGACTGCGGGCGACAGGGACCTGAAGGCCCAGCGCTCCGGACACGGGCAGGCAGCCCAGGGCAGCGGCTTTTAGGAAGGCGGTGCTGTAAACGCGATGGTAAACCCGTCCCAGGTCCCAGCCAAAGCCAGTGCTGCCTGACAAAGTGGCTTTTCTTTCTGGCCTTCGGATCCACCCCAAATGGTCCCAGTTGTTTTTAAGACTCTCACAATTCTAATCGCAGGGGGAGGGGAGAAGGAGAGAGAATCCTCCCCTGTATTACACAGCGCCATGAACCGAGGTCTCCACGCATAACCAGGCTGCGGCCGTCACCGGCTGGCAGCTCCTCCTCCGCCCTCTGCTGGACAGAAAGCAGCACTGCATGGAGGGCGCTCTCCCAGACCCGCCCGAGAACGTAGGCCCGCCTTTCCCGCAGAGTTCCGCGCACCCTTCCAGCCCCTGCACCTGGGAGTAAGGATGACAGCGTGCAGCACCCCTGTCCCCCGCACGGGAGTTAAGGCAGAGGAAACTAACGGGCCCTTCGACGGCAGGCGGCACGGTAACTCGGCTGTCACTGGGCACTTGCCGCCTCCTTTAGGGACTTCGCTAACACATGGACCAGGCTGGCGACGCCAGGGCTCCCCAGTGCCCAGCGTGTGCGGAGAGCTTTCCACACTGCGTCCCACTGTCCCTCTAGGGGAGATGGCGGTGTTGCGCCCACTTTACAGGGGGAGAAATGGAGGCGCAGCAAAGTCAAGGCTCTTGCTCAAGTCACTTGGTGAGGACTGGACACAGCTGGAAGGGGAGCCCTGTTCCCTCTGCAGCTTGTACCCATCACCTGTGAGTCCCTACAGCCACTCGAAATTGAAGAGTTGGTAGTTTTGTGAAGTTCTAGCAGGGTGTAGTGGTGCACATTTGTAATTCTAGCACTCAGGGAGGCTGAGGCAGGAGAATCACAAGCTCTTTTTTTAATTGTCTTTTGTTTTTTGAGACAGAGCCTTGCAATGCAGTTCAGATTGGTCTTGAACTCACTACCCCAAGGCCAGCTCAAACTCACAGTGATCCTCCCGCCTCAGTCTCCCAAGTGCTGGGATGACAGGTGTGCACCACCATGCCCAGCTTGCAAATTTGAGCCCAACCTGGCAATTTAGCAATTTAGTGAGGCCCTGTCTGAAAAAAGAAAGTAAGAAGAGGCAGGCTAGGGATGTAGTTCGTTGTGAAGGCCCTGGGTTCAATCCCTGGGATTGCAAAAAATAAAATAAAATAAAATCTTCCCAGGCGTGGTGGCACACGCCTGTCATCCCAGCACTCGGGAGGCTGAGGCAGGATGATCACTTGGATTTTGAGGCTACCCTGGCCTACATAGTGAGGCTACCTCAAAAACAAAACAAAACAAAAAAATCTTTTTTTTGTTGTTGTTTTTTTTTTGTTTTTTGAGACAGGGTCTCACTACGTAGTTGAGACTGACCTGGAACTCACTATGTAGCCCAGGCTGGTCTCACAGCGAGCCTCCTGCCTCAGCCTCTTGATTGCTGGGATTACAGGCATGCAACACCACACCCGGCTTTAAAAAAAAAATCTTTATATAATTAATGTTATTTTGCAATCAAACAAAAACAATACAACTATTCAAGTTGTTTTTTTTTAATTTAAAGAATGTAAAATATGGGATCACAAAAGAAGTCTAATTAGCAAAGAAAAAAAATTAGTTATTTTCTGTTTCTCCAAAACAAAGGAGTTTTCCACACAGCGCAGGCCCATGATTTTTTTAACCAATTAGCCCCTGCAGAGAAAAGCAGTCATTCCAGTGCGCCCCTCCCCCAGCTCCCACCCCCACCCTGTCCGTGTGACCCTCGCCACACCCTGCGCGTTACCTACCCATCCGCCGTGGTGAGCACGCTGATGGCCTCTCTCTGCAGGTGAACCAGCTTGCAAGGCCTGATGAAGGGGCCGTCGGCCGGGCTGGAAGGCCGCGCAGCACGGCGGAGGATGTCCCAGACCACCAGCTTCCCCTCCGAGGTCGCCGAGAGGATCTCGGTGGAGTTCGGGTGGAAGACGGACTGGCTGAACTTCCCCACCAGCTTGTTGAACGTCTGCGCTTCACAAGACGGTCCGGGTTAGCGCTGACAGCGGCCGTGCCGCGGAGAAGCCACCCACACGCGTCCCACAGTGCCGCGCTGAGCAGAGGCAGGCGGAGGAGAGGGGAGAACCACAAGACTTCCAGGCCGTCCTGGCCCTCGACAGGCTTGCTAGGCACAAGGGCAAGGGTCAGGCCGGGGTCCACTTAGCTGTCTGGTTATTCTATTCTATTCTATTCTATTCGGGACACAGGGTCCCGAGTTGTAGCCCAGGCTGACCCCAAACTCACAGGGATCCTCCTGCTTCAGCCTCTCGAGTGCAGGGTTTACAGGCGTGCGCCACCACACCAAGCTCCCTGTGAGGTCTTAAGCATCTAAATATTCTATATTGGTTTTTTATTATTCAGAAACTGAGCAGTTTTATAGGGACCCAGTACAGCCAACTACTCCACTTAACAGCGCTGCACATTAACTCCCACTCTTTGTCAATATGCCTGAAGATGTTAGAAATGCCACCACCTCGGGGACATTTTCTCAGAATAGTGGACTTTTCTCCAGAACATTTTATCTTAACAATACTCCCACTGTAGTCAGCTGAAGATTCAGTGTAGACAAAGGACCTAGGTAAACTTTTTCAAATTATTTCCCTTTGGTTTAATACTAAGACACACAAAGCACGACCCAAGACAACTAAGCCTGCACATACATGTTTATTCTGCACAAAACATGACCTGTAAATGTGACGCGCATACTCACATTCTCCGTTAAAAGCGGAGCACTGTAAACAAGGATGTCTTTCTCTTCATGCTGAGAAGCACAGAGGGAAAAAGTCACTACTAAAAAACCTTGGTCTCCCAAAGGAAATAGAAAAATAAAACATATCTAACAAGGTCAGAGATTTATAACTTCTACAGGTAAGAAAACCTGCTGTCTGGGGCAATAGCTAAAAACATTCTGAGAGAAAAGATAAGACATTTCAAAATGCCATGAAATGCTATAATCCCAGCACTCTGGGAGGCTGAGGCAGGAGGGTCACAAGTTCCAAACCAGCCTGAAGTCACCTAGAGATGTGGCGGGCACCTTTTTCAAAATAAAAAATAAAAAAAAGGGCCGAGGAAGGAGATTATTTGAGGCCCCAGGTTCAACGATCAGGACAAAAAAGAAAAAGCTACAGATGACTGTGACTTTCAATGGTTGTTAAAATGAATTTGAATTCTACATTAAAACTAAAATAAAATAAAAATAAATACTGGAAAAAGTGAATATCCCTGACAATCAGTGATTCAAAGTGGTGTGTGTGTGTGTGTGTGTCTATACTGGGATTAAACCCAGGGCCTCTCTTGCGCTAGGCAGGCACTGTCACTGAGCTCTGCCCCCAGCCCTTTTTATTTTCATTTTGAGACAGAGTCTCACTAAGTTGCCTGGGCTGGCTTCAAACTTGCAATCCTCCTGCCTCAGCCTCCTGAATGCTGTGGTGATAGGCATGAGTCACCATGCCAAGCTCAGCTGTCATTTCTATCAATTCCTCACCTCAAGGTCATCCCACATACACTCAGCAGCCCCCACCCTTTCTCCCTGGTCCTCACAGATTGGCTGGGTCCCGAATTCCAGACAAAAGGAATCAGACACTACAGGGCTCTTCTCGTTTTTGGGTGCCACTGTGTCTGGCACGCCTGTCCCTGTCCTATCAAGGACCAAGACCTCCTGCATCTGGGTCACCTGCCCCTCCAGGCCTCCTCAATTTGTTCTGCCCTTGGATTCCCACTAGTGCTGCTACGGTGAGGATCTATCTCAAGGTGTTTGTTCAAGTGCCCAAGCCCTTCAAGGTTACCTGAGAACTGCTGAGTCCTGTGCTAATTCTTTTTTGTTTTGTTTGTTTTGTTGTTGTTGTTGTTGTTTGTGTTTTTTTTTTTTTTTTTTAGACAGGGTCTCACTATGTAGTTGAGACTGAACTGGAACTCACTATGTAGCCCAGGCTGGTCTCGAACTCACAGTGATCCTCCTGCCTCGGCCTCCCGAGTGCTGGGATTACAGGCGTGCGCCACCACGCTCGGCTAGTCCTGTGCTAGTTCTACGTTTAACTATGAAAATGTCTCTAAATTCATCCCTTTGCCCTCTGACTGCGTATGTACTGCTGATTAATTTGCTGGTTCCTTTCTGAAAAGGAATAAAGTCCAAGGTTTCAGGGAGTCCTATAGTTACTACCTTCTAAATATAATGAAAATAAATATTTGCCTTATTACTTTAAAAACTTAAATAAAATTTCATTACCTGCTTATGATTTAATACACTAATTTCCACAGGACTGAAATAATCAAAACATTACATGTATATTCACTACTCCCTAACTAGATACTATATTGTTACATTAGCAAAACACATGTACTCAGAGAATAAACCTCAACTTGTACCCATATTTAAACAAACTGAAATATTTTTACTTACCCACCAATAATATATTGTCTGTGTTTTACTATTGCTCACCAATTCTCTATTATTTGCTGGGTTAAAAGTAAGGTAATTCTGAAATATAAAGAATGAAAATATGTTTACATGATAATTTTTTTCCACTGGTTAAGCTAAATGTTAAAATTAAATAATAATTTTAATTAAGTAACTAGCTAGGTGTGGGGGTGCACGCCTGTAGTCTCAGCACTCTGGGAGGCTGGGCAGGAGGACCACAAGTTTGAGCCCAGCCTGGGAAGGTTAGTGAGAATCTGTTGTAAAATTAAAAATGAAAATAAAAAGGGTTAGGGGTGTAGCTCAGTGCAAAGGCCCTGGGTGCAATCTCCAGTACGGCAATAAACAAATAACTCAGTAGGGATATGACTGAATGCAAGAAAAGACATGGTGCTGGGTGCGGTGGTACATGTCTGTAATCCCAGCACTCAGGAGGCTGAGGCAGGAGGATTGCTGTGAGTTCAAGACCAGCCTGAACTACATAGTAGGACCCTGTCTCAAAAATAAACAAGCAAATGAACAAACAAAAATCAAGTACTGAGTGGAAAATAGCCAGTCCTATGAGATACATGCACATAACCTAAAACTGTGGGAGAACAGCAGTCAACAGAAGAGAGGCCCATTGGGGTCTGGGTGCTGGGACACAGGCCAGAAATATTCACAAGACAGCAAGGGACAGAGCAAGAAGCACAGCAAATAGCTCTACAAAAAAAAAAAATGGAAATTCTAGATATGAAAAAAAAAAGGATTTAAAAAACTCAAAAGCTGGTTTAGAAGAGAATTAGACATAGTTGAAGAAAGCCTAGCCAGCAGAAAGAAGAGACAAAGAGTACAAGCTATCCAGGCTGGAGCACAAAGGACCAAGGGCAGAGAAACAGAAAAGAACAGGACACAATCGGAAAAGGTCCAACTCACAGGTCGCTGGAGTCCTACACAAAGATGAAAGAAAGGTGTGATCTGAGGAACATTTAGAGAAACAATGCTGAGCAGTTTCCAAAACTGAGGGAAGATATATCCCAAATTTGAGTCCAGCCTGGGGATTTTAGTGACTTAGCGAGACCCTGTCTCAAAATTTAATAAAGCACACTGGATGTGAAGGTGACATGGTGTGACATCTGTCACCCACTGGTCAAGGTGGATGTGGAAGATCTGGCTGTCCAGGTGAGTGTCCTCATCCTCCCTCCCCAGCAGAGGAGGGTCACTTCCTGGTCAGGGGCACACGAGGGGCTTCGCTCCCCTCCAGGACCTCAGATGAGGTCTCAAAATACACATATGAAAAGGGCCGGGATGAAGCCAGGTGCACAGTATTAAGACGAAGGACAGGCCCAAGTCCCTGAGCCACGCCGGCTTGGCTGCCTCCCCCTCAGCCCCTGCTCCCCGGGGTCCACCTGTCGTCCACCGTCCGTCCACCCCCCTTCTCCCACGCCCCTTTCACAGGCCAATTCCTCCGAGATAAAAAGGAACCAGGAGGGCCAGGGATGGAGCTCAGGGGTCCCGCTGCCAGCTTCACAAGCTCAAGGTCCTGAACTCCATCCTCAGTACCAAAAAAAAAAGAAAGAAAAGAAACCGGGAAGGGTTTTAGGAGGAGCTCTGCCGCCGTGGCACTGTACCGGGCACCAGAACACAGAGAGGTCACCCAGCTCACACCGCGGCTGTGGGGACTTCACCGGCCAAGGCCGTTCCACTGACAGTTCGTGCGCTTAAAGTGCGGTTGCTCACTGAAGCCAAAGTGAGGATCTCCTTGCTTCTGTCCCTCATCACAACTTTAAAAGCCTCACAGCTGGGCTGGGGACTTGGCTCAGTGGTGCTGCCACCTGCCTTGCAAGTGCAAGGACCGGAGTTTGATCCCCGGTACCAAAAAAATTTAAAAAACCCCCACCGCTTCTAAAATGTAACCATTTGGGGTTCGCTTTCACTTGGAATAGTGTACAGTGGACCTCGAGTTACAACTGGCCTAACATATGAAAAACTTGGCTTATGGCCAGAATGTTCATTTTAACTTACAACCAAAGTCCTGAGTTATGACCCACATGCTGGCTGCTTTGCATCCAGATGGTCTCAGACACAGCTGTGACCCTTAAAGAGCTCTGGAAGGAGCACGGCCGCTTCCTCTCCTGTGTGGAGTTCACTGAGAAACCCGGGCCGGTGTCTCTAAGGGGACCGGAGAGAGGCTTTGAAGGCTGTGGAGAAGAAAGAGTCTCAGCCTGCGCTGACCAATCTGAGTTACAACCAGCCCTCGGGAACTAATCTGAGTCTGTAAGTGAAGGGTCCATTTTAAGTCCATGCAATAAACTGAAAATACAAAAAAAAAAAGAAGAAGAGACAGACAAGGAGCAAGGCTCAGCTTTGGGGAAGGGGACTCCAGGCCCTGGGGAGGAAACGGGACTTGCAGCCTGGGGGATGGGAGAGAAGATCCCAGAGGAAAAGCAGCAAGGGCAGGTGGAGGCAGAGGAGGCCAGGACAGCAGGCAGACTGCAGGTGCCAGCCCAGCCTCGGTAACCTAGCAACTCAATGGGACCCTGATTCAAAATCAGAAATAAGAGGGGCTGGGGATTCAGCTTGGTGCCAAGGGCCTGGGCTTAATCCCCTGTACTGAAAAACAAAAACTGTGCCCAGTAAAACTGAGAAACCAAATTTGTCATTGATTTAATTGTAATCTGTTTAAATTTGAATAGGGCATTCAGCAAAGTTACAGGACAAAAAAAAAAAAAACCAACCCACAAACCTAGCTGCATTTCTATGTACCAGCAAGGAACAACCAGAAAAAGAAATTAAGAAAACAATTCCACTTAGAAAAGCACTGAAAAGAATAAACACATAGGAATAAATTTAACGCAGAAGGGGAAAGACAGAGACACTGGAAATTACAAAACAGCTAAAAAGTTAAAGAAGACATAAACACCAAGGCATCTGGAGCTCACGGGGAGAAAGCAGGACACAATTAAGATGACAATGCTCCCGATGTGACCTATATTCAGTGCAGCCCCTAGCAAAGTCCTGAAGGCAATGGTTGCAGCCACTCCATGGAAACCAAGAGTAATAGTAACTTCCGTTTTTCTTTTGGGACAGGGTCTTGCTATGTCATTGAGGTGGGCCTCCAACTCACAGAGATCCTCCTGCCTCAGCCTCCCACGTGCTGGGAATACAGGCGGGCACCGCCACCAGCAATAACCCTTTTATGTGCCTTGCAAGTTTGGGACAAAGTTAGAAGCAGGTAAGACCATGTTTCTGGAATAAGAAAGACAGCGTGCTGGCTGGGAGACTCCCAGGAGCAGTCCACAGGCATTGTCTCCTCGCCAGCAAGTTTGCATGGATGATGTGAGGTAAACTAAGTAAAGGATTTAGCAGAACTGGGCACAGCCAGAGCGCCTGAAACTCATTAGCTGTTATTAGCAAAGAGAAATGAGTCCGGGAGAGGACAGAGTTTCTAGAAAGCTCCACGCACCTCTGCGAAGAACAGACCTGGCTCCGCGTAACCTTGGGCCAGGGCTCAGGGGTGAGCGACTCACCTGGAAACCATGCTCTCTGGGGAGCTGCAGGGTGCACGCGGGCGTCTCCACCGCCAGAGTCCACCTCCAGATGCAGACTTCCTGGGGAGAGCGGGCACGACTGACTGAGCAGGGCCAGACCCCGGGCCCCAGCTCAGGTCCCCGGGCGGCGCCGGGCCCGTCCCCACCTGGACATCGGCGTCGGAGATGGTGGCCAGGTACTTGGCGTCTCGGCTGATGGCGATGGCCCTGATGCCATTCCCTTGTGGGCAGCTGTCAAACACGGTGTGCACGGGGACGCTGCAAGACAGGTGAGCGCGGGCTACCACCCGGCTTCCGACGCCAGTTGGGGCGGGACGGGAGCGCTGCCAGGGTGATGAGGTCGGTCGCACAGCCCCGTGGAGGCCCCGTGCCAGGGCCCGCTTCCCGTGGCTTTCACAGCAAGGCCACACTCAGGGCAGCAGGCCGCGCCCTGGGACTGGGCTCTCTGCCCGGCACTTTGTCCCACACAAAGGATGCAACCCTGAAAAAGCGACCGGACAGCAGGAAGGGGACACGCCGAGCACAGCCTTGGAGCACAGCGCCGATGAGTGTAAAGACGCGTGCCTGGTACTGCTTTGCCCAGAGAAACCACGCTGACAGAATTATTTTTAAAAGACTATGGCACAGCCATATAGTGAACAACTATGCTGTCCTCGAAAAAGAATGAGACCAGAAATGCACGTGGGCTGGGCGTGGTGGCACACACCTGTACACCCAGCACTCGGGAGGCTGAGGCAGGAGGATCGCTGTGAGTTCGAGGCCAGCTTGGAATACATAGCGAGACCCTGTCTCAAATGCCAAAAAAATGGTGGGGGATTTAGCTCAGTGGTTCTGCCGCCTGCCTCCCAAGAGCAAGGTCCCAAGTTCGATCCCCAGTACCAAAAAAATGCACTTGGAGGACAACCATCAAATCTTTGGGAATGACACAATGGGAGATCTCAGTGGGGAGACGGATCTTATTCCATGAAGTCAGTCAGCGCCGTACTGATGCATTTATGGAAATAAAACTAGTTCATTTCTAAGGAGTACATAATGCTGAAGAGAATTTGATGCATTAGAATCTCCGATAGAGTCAGCGTGTGATTCTAATTTAAAACAGGCCATTGATTTAGACTGGCAATTTTAAACTGAAATTGCCCAAGGTTTATAAACAATAGTAAAGCACATAGGAGACCTTCAGATTTACTGTGTTTATCTCTAAACTTATTAGCTTTACAGGAATTACTTAAGTACTGGTCAAGGGCTTGTTAATTAGAGCACTAAAACACTTGAACATAAAACACAATATATTACATTTCTAAACGCCATTTAAGATGTGGAAAAAGAATTCAGGACTAAGTGTGTGAGGCCAGACATTCATCAGAGCCTCCTCACAGGTGACTGCAAAAAATATGCTACATTTGCAAGTAGAGCAAGATTTTTAAGTTGAACAAAAAGCCCAGTGAAGAATCACAGATGTTAGTTTCTCATGCCAGCAAAGTGGATACCAGTTCCCAAACCCAAGTGGTCTCTGAATAACCTCTTCTGGGCCCCAAAGCCATCATAAAACTCACTCATGTGTTTCAGTTGTTAATCACAGGTTTGCTTTGCTTTGAAATAAAAAAGAAACAATTATCTGGGTGTGATGGCACACACGTGTACTTCCAGCATTCTCAGGAGGCTGAGGCAGGAAGATCCCATGAGTTCAAGCCCAGCCTGAATTACACAGTTGACCCTGTCTCAAAAAGCAAGCAAACAAACAAAAACCTGAGCAGATGAGTGGACAAAATGTGGATTTGGGTTTTTGTTGTTGTTTTCTGTACCGGGGATCGAGCTCAGAACCTTGCACTGGCCAGGCAGGGGCGGCACTGCTGAGCTACACCCCCAGCCTGACAAAATGTGTTTGATCCACGTGATGTGACGGGACCCGCCTGAAATGCAGTGTGGCATCCACACAGCCACCCGTGAGTGAGCCCTGAAAACACTGCCCCGGGAAAGCTGCAGACCTCATGGGGTTCCATCCCTGGGTCGGTCCTGTGTAGGCGCGGCACCTGCAGAGGTGGCAGCGGAGGAGATGGAGCCTGGGGGTGGGGGCTCCAGGGTAGGATTTCTTCTTGGAGCAACAAAAATGGCTGGAAACGGGAACCAGCAATGGACGCAGACTGTGGATGGGATTAACGCCACTGGATTATATTTCTTAAATGGCAGAACTGGTAGATTGATTTTGTTTTCTGGAGACAGGGTTTCACTATGGAGCCCAGGATGGCCTGGAACTCCCAGCAATCCACCTGCCTCAGGCTCCTGAGTGCTGGTTGACAGGCGTGCACCACCACTCCTTAGAAGGTTTTTTGAGACAGGGTCTCACTGTGTAGTTGAGACTGAACTGGAACTCACTATGTAGCCCAGGCTGGTCTCGAACTCACAGCGATCCTCCTGCCTCAGCCTCCCAAGTGCTGGGATTACAGGCATGCACCACCACGCCTGCCCTTGGTAGGTTTTTTTTTTTGAAAGGTCTGCATTTTACCACAGGGAGATAAATCAGCCTGCAGGACGGAGCCCAGTTAGGCTCCTGCTGCGACAGCACAGGGACGGGAGGGGCAGCATCCAGGAGGTGGATGTGCAGGACTCCCGGGCCCTTCCACAGGGACCCTCAGGATCCCCAGGAAGAGGAGGCGACACAGAGCTGAGGCTGCTGTCTGGGGAACGGTGTGTGACGGCTCCTCACCGCAGGCCTCGTCCCAGGGACCCTAGGGAGTCAGTGAGAAGGAACTTCGGGACCGCAGAGAGGGGAGCCAGGGGCTCGGTGTCGGAGTCGCCGGCAAACGCAGGATCCAGAGCCCTGAGGAGGCGGCGGAGGAGGTTGGGGACTGGCGACTGTGCTGTGGAGGGCAAAGGGCTGCGGTAGACCCCGTGTCCCTGGCTCCAGGACAGTCCCAGCCTCTGCTGCCGGCACCTGCCGGGGCCTCCCACTGTGGCAGTAGGAGCTCCACTCAGCTCAGGACAAGGAGGGAAGGGAAAAGAAAACCCCGCCAGGGGTGTGTGGCACCGGCTCCTGCAGAGGGCTTGTGGGGTGGCTGGACAATGTCCCCCAAATTCATGTCTACCCAGAACCTCCGCATGCGGCTTTACTTGGAAGTAGCAGCCAGGCACATGCATGTAATCCTAGTACTTTGGGAGGCCGAGGCAGGAGGACCACAAGTTCAAGCCCAGCCCAGGCAACTTCGAGATCCTGTCTCAAAATCAAAAAAAAAAAAAGAGGGATGGGAGTGTAGCTCAGTGCAAAGGCCCTGCAGGGAAGAACCAGCAGCGGCCGAAGGACAGCAGGAAGCAGGCATGCTCAGAGATGGGGAGGGGACACTTGGTGGCAACCATTAAAACCCTCCCGGAAGACCTGGCCCCACGAGAACAATGCCGCCCCGGAAGTAACAGGCTCGGCCTCTGCTTTATGCTTTGAACTTGTGTGAGTCGGGTTACTGTGGGTCAGCCTGGCTCGGGGCCGGCTTGGCTTAGCTGCAGTGGCAGGGACTCTGTAGGACTCGGGAGGGCAGTGCAGGCCCAGCCTACCCTGTGAATGCGTCCCAGATGATGATCAGGCAGCCAGGCCCCTTGTCTGCCGTGGCGATCCACCGCCGGTCCTCACTGACACACAGGCAGGAGATGACGTTCGGGTGGCCCTGCGGAAGGCAAGGAGGGAATGCAGCTGCACGGGCCTCCCAGGGCTCCGTCTCCCACTGGGCGCTTCTCAGACTTCCTTCCCTTCAGAATACCGGAAGAGCCACCAAGGCAGCGAAGGCCTCAGTGGCACCTGGGTGTGGTAACCCCGGTCCCCGGGCTCAGGCAACCGCTCTGACGTACCAGGTCAAGGTGGCCACGAGGGAAAGTCCCACGGCCACATGTGCTGGTGACAGGTGGCTCAAGGCTTTAACAGGTCAGCTAGGGGGAGAGGGGACATGGGGTAGGTGACGGTGACCTGCCCACACTGGAGGAAGCACGGTAGCATTTTGTCTTTTCTTTAGATAGGGTCTCACTAAGTACCCTGGGCTGGCTTTGAACTCTTGGAAACCCTCCTGCCTCAGCCTGCTGAGTGCTGGGATGAGAGGCACACGCCACCACACCCTGCTGCCCCCCAAACTCCTGAGTCAGGAGACCCGCAGGCAGCACCCAGGCCGGGCTAGAACTGTCGCTCCAATCCCTGGAGCCTCAGTATCAGCACAGTCCCAGCTCGAGTCCCTCGGGAACAGCCGCCTGCTTCCCTGGAGCTCAGTGGAGCCGGCCGTGGTCTACACTGGCCATGGCTGAGATGTAAAATGACAAGTGCTTTGGAGTGTTGTGACAAAACCGGCATGGTCTGCGGTCACTCAGCTGCGGGGCTGGAAGAGGAGGAGGAGCCAAGCCCCTACCTGCAGGTGGTGCTGCGTGTTCCTGGGGACATCATAGATGACCGCGGTGTGGTTGCACGCATACAGCAGGACCCTCTGGCTCCTCTCCCGGATGTAGAAGACAGGAAGTGAGCTGTTCCATCCGAAGGACCAGCTCAGGGCCTGGAAGACAGGGCCGACCTGCAAGGCACTGGGGTGCTGAGCCCAAGCCTGGAGGCCATCACCGTGCAGCACTTTGGGACAGAGCTTAACAGTGGCCGGGAGGGGCTCACACCGGAAGTCCCAGATACTTGGAGGCTGAGGCAGGAGGGTTGCTTGAGGCCAATAGTTCAGAGCCAGCCTGGGCAGTGAGACTCCATCTCAGAGAAAGGAGACAGAGAGGAAGAGGAGCAGGAGGAGGAACAGGAAAGTGGAGGGAAGGAAGGGGAGGAACTCTGAAGAGGTGACACTGTGCGAATGGCCGTGCACTATACAGTCTGTGAACAGGAAATGTCAGGGACAGGTGACTTCAGAGAAGACAAATTAGGACCTGGCGTGGAGAGCAGTTGCTCATGGGTGGGGCTGTCATTCTGGGAGAGGAAAGGTTCTGGAAGTGGACAGTGGGCCGGCCATGTACCAGAGCCGGTCACTCACGCCCGGGCTGGGAGGGACCTGGAGCCTTGTGGCTGTCAAGGAGGTAGAAAAAGGACACAGCTGCTGTGGGAAAAATGAAAATCCAGCTGTGTCCAGTGGCACATGCCTATGAAGTCCAGCTTTCTGGGAAGCTGAGACAGGGGGACCTCAAGGTATACGCCAGCCTGGGCAATTTGGTGAGAACTTGTCCTCAAATTAAAAATATTTCAAAGGGCAGACCTAGGGGATGTGGATGAGCACAAAGGCCCTGGGTTCCATCCCAGGTAACACACGTACACGTTCGTGACACACACACGTGCGCACACAGGGCTGGAGTGCAGTTCGGCGAGAGAGCACTTGTTTAGCCACTGGGTTCAATTCCTGGTACCATGAGGGGGAAAAAAATGTGACAACAACCCACTGCCCACGGCTAGGTGCACAGATAAGTGCGGCACACGACCCTATGGGGTGTCATTCGGTCCCTAAAAGACAGAAAGTTCTGATGCAGGCTACGGCGCAGATGAGCAGATTCACGGAGACGAAGTCAGGCATGTGGCTTAGGCTTGTAAGAATGGAGGTGCTCTGGGAGGCTGAGGTGGGAGGATCACAAGTTTGAGTTCTGCCTGGAGAAGTCAGCTGGATCCTACCCCAAAATAAAAAAAATTAAAAGGGGTGGAGATATAGCTCAGTGCAAAGGCCCAGTATGGGGGTCTTAGGGACAGAAAGTTAGAGTTTAATGGATGCAGAGCTTTAGTTTTACAAATTAAAAGAGTTCTGGACAGATGGTGGTAAAGGCTACCTAACCATAGCAGGTACTTAATACTACGAATGGTACGCTTAGCATGATTAAGATGGGAACTTTTATGTTACATGTATGGGGAGGGTACCAGGGATCGAATTCAGGTCCTTGCCCTTATGAGGCAGGTGGTGACACCACTGAGCTAAATCTCCGGCCCTGATGCATGAATTTTTAAATTTTTAGTTTTTTTAAATATTTGTTTTGTTTTGTTTTGTGGACAGGGTCTCGCTATGTAGTTTGGGCTGGCCTTGAACTCACTATGTAGCCCACGGCAATCCTCCTGCCTCAGCCTCCCACAAGCTGGGATCACAGGTGTGTGCCACCATGCCTGCCTTCTCTGTGGTTCTCATATATCACTTTTCCTGGAAAGATCAGAATGAAGTGACAAAATTCCACTAGGTACAGGGGTGCCTGTCATCCCAGCACTCTGGGAAGCTGAGGCAGGAGGATGCAAGTTCAAATTCCACCTGGGCACTTAAGCAAGACCCTGTCTCACCAGGCGTGGTGGCACACACCTGTAATCCTAGCACTCAGGAGGTTGAGGCAGGAGAATCGCTGTGAGAAGACCCTGTCTCAAGTTTTTAAAACTTAAAGAGTAAAAGAGCTGGGGATGTGGCTGAGCACGCATGCAGGCCCTAGGTTCAGTCTCTAGTAGTTAAAAAATAATAATAACAGAAGACAGAAAGACTAAATTCCCTTAGAGAAACTTAAATTCCCCCACTGTCAGAATAAATACAAAATAACAATTTTATGAAATGAAAAAATCACAGGTTCTATAAACTTGACTACTATAGTTCAACAGTAACTTATATGTGTAGTAGTTTTGTACTCCAAGTCTTTTACCAAGATAAGATAAGCAAACTGTGGTAATCCATGAATGGGTGGTCATTCAAGGATGGAAAGAAATGGGCTACTGAGCCCCGCAGAGACCCAGGGGCTTGGATGCATTTGCCAAGTGACAGAAGCCGCACTGCAGGACCCTGACTGTGTGACATTCGGGGAGAGGCACAGCTCTGGTGACAGAGCAAGAGCAGCGGTGGCAGGTAGGGGAGGCAGAGGACACGGGGTCTTTAGGGCACTGAATCGATTCGAGTGTTAGTGAAATGGTGAATGTACATCACCATACTTCCATTAGAGCCCACAGGATGTACCACACAGAACAACCTAGACTAAGACTTTAGTTCACAATAATTTATCAAGCTGGGTGTGTACTGCCAGCAATTGGGGGGCTGAGGCAGGAGAATCACTAAATGTTTGTGGTCAGCCTGTGCTACACTGAAACATTGACTCAAAAAAATAATAATAATAATAAACTAATATTGGCTGATCAATGTTAACAAAAACATCACAAAAAGCAAGATAGCAATAAAAGGAGAAACTAGAGAAGAAAGTGCAAGGGAATATAGGAACTCTCCATACTTTCAGTTCAATTTTCTATAAGTCTAAAACTTCTTTAAGAAAAAAAACAAGGTCTATTAAAAATTTAAGTAGAGCCGGGCGTGGTGGCGCACGCCTGTAATCCCAGCACTCGGGAGGCTGAGGCAGGAGGATCACTGTGAGTTTGAGACCAGCCTGGGCTACATAGTGGGTTCCAGGTCAGTCTCAACTACATAGTGAGACCCTGTCTCAAAAAACCAAAAAAAAACAAAAATAACTTAAGTAGGACCAGCTGGGAGAGGAGATGCCCACATGTAATCCCAGTACTCGAGTTACAACCAGACTGACATATGAACAACTTGGATTATGACTGAAATTTTAGTTTTATCTTACAGTCTTGAGTTACGACCCAAATGCTAGGCACTCATGCATCCAGATGGTCTCAGACACAGCTGTGACCCTTAAAGAGCTCTGGAAGGAGCACGGCCGCTTCCTCTCCTGTGCGGGGTTCACTGAGAAATCCCGGGCCGGTGCCTCTCTAAGGACCCCGAGATCTGCCTGTGGACAGGAGAGAGGCTTTGAAGGCTGAGCCTTCACTGACCGACTTGACTTACAACCAGCCCTCGGAAACGAACTGAGTTTGTAGGTCGAGGGCCCACTGCAGCCTGGACACTGAGGCAGGAGGGTGACGCGGAGCTCGAGGCCAGCCTGGGCTAGGAAACGAGACCGCGTCCCCAAAACACAAACACCCAAGATGAAACCAGCACCGGCCAGGCAAGCCCAGCAGAGCGCTGACGGCGACGCTGAGCAAGGTGCCCCGGTTGTGCGCGCAGGGCGCAAACCCTGGCGGCCTCCTTCCCCTCCCAGCGCAGACGAGCCAAGGCGGACGCGGGATAGCGGCCGGCGTTCTCTCCGGCCCCTCTACGCGTCCCTGCCATGCCTGAGTCTGTGTAGGGCGCGGACCGTGGGCGCGAGCGGGGATCGTGGAAGCACGAAGGTCCCCCGCTGCAGCGCCTGGGGACAGAACTATTTACTCTCCGGCTGGTGCTGAAGAGCCGATTTATGCAAATGCGTTGTTCTTTTGGAAACTTGCTAATCCTGACAGGGCTTATTCGTCCTATTCGTCCTGGGGTTTCTTCTCCACTTTACGGGTGGTTCTAGGAAGGGGACACTGCGAAGGGCGCCTCCGGGTCAGAACCGGCGGGCCTCAGCCGCGGGGACGGGGCGCCCTCTCGCGGCGGCGCTCACAGTTGCAGCTCGCCCGGCGTTGGCCTGGTGGGCGCCAGTTCAGACGCACAGCAAGAATGACCCGGGAGTAGCTGCCTCCGAAAACCACGATGTGGAAAAAAGAACTTTATTGTCAGGACTGGATTCTATCATACTGGATATTCCTGAGGCTCTTGCTTCATAAGTACATGACTTTTTTTACAGTACCGGACTGTAAACTCAAGACCTTGTGCCTGATTATTTTGTTTCATTTTTATTTATTTTTGTTCATTTGTTTTGAAGCTGGGTCTTGTTCTGTAGTCCAGGCTGGCCTTGGACTCGCTGTGATCCTCCTGCCCCAGCCTCCCGAGGCCTGGGATTACAGGCGTGCGCCCCCACAGCCAGCTTCTTTTTTACGTATTTATTTACTTTTGTTTTTTTGAGACAGAGCCTCACCGCGTGCTTCAGGCTGGCCTCGAACTCGCTGTGTGCCCAGGCCGACCCAGGGCGCCTGCCTCAGCCTCCCTCCCTCCCCAGTGCTGGGATTACAGGTCTGCGCCTCCGCGGCTGTGTTAGGAACTGTGCTGCTTCAGGAGCAGGTACTCTTCAGAAACTACTTGTCTACGCACAGAAGGGAGGAAGAAGAGCGGCAGGGGAGGTCGTGCCCCACAGACTGAGCCCCTAGGAGGACGCTGGAGGGAGGCGGACGCGCTGGCTGCCCCGTGTGCGGATGGCACCGCCGGGCCGCTCTCAGCACAGCCCCGGCCACACCCTCACCGTCCAGCCAGGGTCCCGCTGCGGAGGCAGAGGTGAGGCCGGGAGGGCCCGGAGGGACAGAGGAGCTGGAGGGGGCTGCAGAATGGAGAGGACAGGAGGGGAGAAGAGAAGGGGGAGGGAAGGAAGAGGAGAGAGGAACAGGGGAGCAAGGAGAGGCAGGACGGCCATGCCTGCAGTCTCCTGCCTGCCTGAGACTCCATGGATCCCACACTGCTCAGGGTCACGGTCCATCACACAGGGCCAGCCAGAGAGAACTCAACCTGGAAAGACACATGTTGCCAGGTGTGCTGGCGCATGCCTATAATGCCAGCACTCCAGAGGCTGAGGCAGGAGGATCGCCATGAATTTCAGGCCAGCCTGGGCTACATAGTGAGTTCCAGGTCAGTCTCTACATAGTGAGACCCCATCTCAAAAAAAAAACAACCAAAAAACCAAAACCAAAGCATGTCTTTTTGGTAGAATAATTTCCCCCGCCCTCTCCTGCCCCCTCAACGCCAGGCAACTTACCAAGGGGTACACCTGGGCGCCCTTGTCCTTCTGGAACAAGGTGTCCTCTGTGGAGCTGGATACCAGGGACTCCCTGGAGGCTCCTGCTTCAGCCTGGAGTCCCATTTCCTCATCGCTGAGGAAGTTGGATAATCTCTTTCTGTGCCTCTCCTTACCCCTTCCTCCTCCAGCACCTTCCTGTTTCCAGCCCAGGTCTCTTTCTTCCTGTCCCAGTTGGTCCTGGGCCTCAAGATGGGTTCTGTCCTCGAGCTCAGCTGAGGAACCCGTCTGCTGTCTGTCAGGAGGGACTCGGCCCACATCCACATAGTCATGGTTGGAGCTGAGGCCTCTGAAGAGCTCGCATGGTCCGGAGCTGTCTGACCGCAGTGACTGCTTGGAGCCGGAATCTCCAAGGATTTCCTTTATGAAGGAGGAAGAGGAGTGTGACTGAGTACAGACCAGCTCCCTGTCTAAGCGGGAGCCTCACCCTGGAATTCTGAGATGTTTTTAAAAAAGAATCGGGGGACAGGCATGGTGGGAGCACATCTGTAATCCTAGCACTCGGGAGGCTGATGCAGGAAGATCACTTCAAGTTTGAGGCCAGCCTGAACTCCGTAGTGAGACCGTCTCAAAAAAGAAAAGAATCTGGGACATTTTGTATTTAAGAAATTAATCAAAACTGATTATAGTATATAAACTCAGCACTGTGGAAGGCTGAGGCAGGAAGAGCTCAAGTTGGAGCCCAGCCTGGGCAATTTAGCAACTTAGCAAGACCCTGTCTCAAAAATTTTAAAAGGGCTGGGGGTGTAGCTCAATGTGAAGGACTGAGTTCAATTCCTAGTACTGAAAGAAAAATAGGAAACAGAGAGAGATATCAAGGGTGTGTTGGATTTAATTTTGACATACCAACAGACCCACAACAGAAAAATCACTTGACACTGGTGATCTCCAGAAAGCTGCAGGTCACAATTACTTGTCCCTGGTTTGGCTTTGTTTTTTGTCTCACTATGTTGCCAAGGCTGGTCTGGAATTTGCATGGATCCCCTGCCTCAGCCTCCTGCATGCTGAATTACAGGCGTGCACCACCACTAAAACACCGGGCGGAGCTCCGCCCTGGGAGCAGCAGGGCAGAGTCTACACCGCTACTGTCACTCACACTGTTCTAGAACAGCCCACTTCAGTGAGCTCCTGCCCAGCCTTTAAGAGTCACTAAGCACAGGCCTCCTCCAGGAAGGGTGCCCAGACTGTCCTCCCTGTAAAAAAGTCCCCAGGAGGATTGCCAGGCCATAGTGTCACGAAGAACGGGTCTGTCTCGTTCAGCTTTGTCACCTCAGCCTGGCATTGGCTCAGCACCCAGGGCGTGACTGAGAGCAGGCAGGGGCCATGGTGCCCACTCACCAGGAAGGTGCCCAGCAGGCTGTACTGGGGGGCGCTCAGGACCTCGGGAGTGCGCTCCACGGGGGGTTCCTCCTCCTCTTTCTCCTCCTCCTCCCCTTTCTCTTTCTCCTCTGCCTCCTCCTCTTCCTCGATGGGCTCCTTCTTCTCCAGCTCTTCCCCTCCCAAGTCCTCCTGAGACTCTGTCCATCCTGATGTGTCATCAGATGATTTCTGTCCCGTGTTTTCTACTTCGTTATAATTTTGATTATATTCTTTCTCTTCCTTTTCTTTTGCTCCATTTTCTTCTGGATCTGACATTCTTCCGTGTAGTTTCCTTTAGAGAATATGCGACTACAGTAATCAGCGGGCCCGCTTTCGGTTCTGATTTCCTAGCTACTGATGTGGTGTGCAATGCCTGCTCCGGTTCCTCTGCCCGGGGATAAAAAGAATGCTACAGTCAGGAAAGCGGCTGACCTCGGGGCCTCTGTCCTCTAGGATTAACCCCGTGTTTACACCTCGGGCATGGGAGGCGCGGGAAGGGAAGGCAGGGCCTAGTGCACGGAACTCGGTCTCATTTCCACCACCAGCCTCTCTGAGACGAGGGTCCCTTTACCCTCAGCAGCTAAAGTGGCTCAGGGCAAGATGCGAAGCACAGCCCTCCATCCCAGGGTGGCCATGAGGCCGAGGGCAGGCGTCAGAGGCTAACCGAGTTCAGCACAAGACCTTAAAACAGACGGGAGCGGTCACTGGGGTAAAAGTGACGGTGGTTCTGCGAGACATTCGCTTGGTCTTTCCTCACAGCGAACTGGAGTTTGGGACTCTGGGAGGCCAAGGGACCCATCCACGGTGGCAGAGCTGGGCCCAAAGCTGGGCCGAGGGGCGCAGAGCCAGGCTGTGACCCCCGAGACCTCCGCCCCGGACTTACAGAGCGCACCCACTTCGTCCTCAACAGGCCAGGTCCTCCTGGACCTCCAGCGGCCTCCACCTCCGGCTTCACGCACTCCCTAGCTACAGTTGCCACCCAAGCTTCGTCCCCATAGCAACCGCTGCCGCCCAGTGCATCGAGCCGTAAAGCGAGGTAGCAGCACAGCAACGATGCGAGCCGAACCGACACGCCCCCTGCCGGCTGCAGGGGTGACGGACTCAACTCGTCCTGGTTCTTTCCTCTTACCCTCCCCCTCCTCTTCCCATGGTGCCAACCCCGAGAAGCTGTGGGGACCAACACTGTCAATTTTGACACCTGCGATCCAACCGCGTAGGAGGCTGAGGCAGGAGGAACCCAAGTTCGAAGGCAGCTGGGGCTATGTAATGAGTTCAAGGCCAGTCTGAACCGCATAAGACCTCATCTCAAAAAACCAGCCAAGGTGGGCCAGGGATGTAGCTTAGCAGCACCACGCCTGCCCGGCAAGCTCAAAGTCCTGAGTTCAATCCCCGGTGCGGGCGCCGTAGGGAGACCAACCAAAAAAAGAAATCTCTGCCAAGAGCAAATTCCTTTTCCTGGTCCCATAGATGCAACACACATCTGTCCTATCTGCCTCATCCGGGCGGTGACAGTACAGAAAGTTTTAGTTGGCTGGGAATGAATCACAGAAGGTGCACAACCTCGCTGCTTTTATCCAAAAGCACTTCTGCAGAACCAGCCTGGTACTAGTAGGGTCCTCCTGCGTGGAACTGCATCTCCCAGGCCTGAGCCCGCAGGAAGCCAGCTGGAGGAGGGTGTGGAACCTGTTCGCCCGATGTCATGTTAGCAGGGGACGGGCCACTGCCCCACGGCCGACCCACACGCTCACCTCTCAGGTGGGACTGGACAGTACCAACTTTATTACAGCACAGACCGTAAACTCGCACCAAACAGGAAACCCTGGTAAACATGGCACGGCAGGCCTGCCACACTTGGGGGAGCAGTGCCGGTGGGGCCCAAGTCTGAGCCGGGCACCCCACAGGGTACAGGCTCCGTGGCAGTTGTCCAGGCCTCTCCAAGAAAGAGGAAGCGGTCTACAAGCGGGGCCAATAAACACAAGGGTACAATGAAGACGGGGAGGAATTCAGAGGTGGAGTCCGAGGAATGAACTTAGCATCTCAACAGAGAAAGGAAGAAGAAAGCAAGCAGCATCTTCAGGCAGTCTGAGATGCAAACCCTTCCAATCAGATCGGCAGTGGAGCACACCGAGTCTGTAAAAACGCTGACCCTGGGGCATGGCTGGGAGGGTCTGCCACAGAGACGCTACTCCGCCAAAGCAGTGAAATCAGGAACAAAGACACTGCCAGAGTGTGGCGGCTCAGCTCTGCTCAGGGTGTCCAGGCCGAGAGCCCTTCGGCTGGAGATGCTCAGGAGAATGCGGCCAGGTGATGCCGTGGTTGCACTGGCGCTTCACAGCTGCATGTGGGGAAAGGAAATTCCTACTAGAATGAAGTCGCATCAACACCTTCCTGCCCAGCTCCCCACCGGCCGCAAATGGTGTTGGGATCTGTAAGAGATGCTGAGCACAGACTGTTCACACAAAGCCCAAAGTTCACAACGGCCACCAGATCATCAGGGACTTCGGAGCACAGGGAGAATGGGGGCGCCAGGTCCAGGGCATGGAAAGCGGAGCTCTCCCTGCTCCCCGGAACAGTCATCTTTGCAGAGGAACAATGTTGCAGCTGCAAGGAAAAACAGGCAGGGCCTGAGTGCGGTTGCTCCCAGGGAAGACAGCAGGGGCCCCTGCAAGCTTCTCCCTATAGCCTTTCATGCTTTTTTTTTTTTTTTTTTT